TCTCTTTTATTCCATTTTAATCAAATTGTATCCTACTGAGATGCCCCCGGGCTCTTTACATAATAATTTTTATTGACCGAATTTAGTAAAAAAATACATAGGGAAAGCAAACATCAGGTTAAGATGTGGGTTACTTTCTAAGAGAGAAATGCAAGTACTTAGCTTTTACAAAGATGGTTTTAAACTAGAGATTTTCTCAAACTTCCCCACCCAAAACTTTGTTCTTTTCTGTTTGCCTTACTATACTGAACTCTATACTGTTTATAGAAATAGTTCATTCATTTCTATTACTGTGCTAATATATATATTTCAATATTAAATATACTGTGTTAGGTTATACACATAAGTGTTAGTTACATGGATTAGAATTATTTTCTATTAACAGAGTACGTTAAAGCTAATGGTAGTTTGTTTTGCTTTCTGCTCAAAATTTGGAATACATGATTTAATTTTTTTTTTATAATTTGTACATGCCTAGGAAAGCTCATACTCCAGGATCAGGCACAAAGGATATATTCATGGTTCTGTAATAAAAAACTATGTTGAAATATTCACAAATATCAAATATTTTAAAAGAAAGATTATAAAAATAACCAGGACTTCAGTTTTGAGTAAAGTATTACTTATGAGACAAGCCACTGTTTCCTATTAATGTGTGATTTTTTTACAATACAAATTATAATAACTCGCAACACTGCAGGATGTGTCCTCCAGTTATTTATAGTCCCCGATGAGCGAGGTAGAGGAGATATTAATGCTTACTACTTCCAGACTATTAATGAATACCTGCCATGAGTATGTACTCTGATTGTTTGTGGGGATGGGGGAGTAGAGACGTTTGTTTCTAGTACAAAGTGATTGACACCTTAGCTATGTGACTTGGGGATCTAGATTAAAGTTATCTGAAGGCTGCTTTATTAAATTTAAGGACTGCAGGCACCCTTGGTAACTTTGCATGCAGTAATTTTTATGCAGTAGCTTTTCCTGCAGAAAAAGTCGCATGTTCTCCTTTCTAAACAAAAGACCCTCAGAAGTCATATGAGGATAAATTCCCATATCTTGATGGGAATTTAAAATATTTCTGCGGATACATAAAAAATTATAGAGTTGGGGGGTATGATGCCACCAACTGGTCAACCTTTAAATGCAGGGCGAGTGCGTCAGCAACCTGATGTTGCATTCAGGCTTCCTGACACCCCAAAATTGCTGCTGTGCCTTTGGCCAGACCCCAATAACTTGGGGCCAAGTTTACCCAGAAATTCAACGGCCAAAAGTTAGGTATGTGGGAGCCACACCCATAAACAACCTCTGGCTCAGCTATACAAGCTCATGGCTTTCTCAGAGTTGGGATGGGCTACCTCCCCCACTTCCCAATACACATGGAAGCACTGGCAGTCACCCTCACAAACCAACTCCGGTGCCACCCTGCAAGCTCTACTCTCAGCCTTGCCTCAGAGACCCCTAAATAAATCCTGAAGGAGACCAAAAGCCACAGTTAAGCTTGGACCCATACATGGCTGAACAAACCAGATTAAATTGGAGGGGGGGTTGTCCTGTGCCCACCCAAGCAGAGCCCCCAGCAGCCACTTGCTTCCACAACCCAAAATTGCCACCATATCCAAGCCTGACACCACCATCTCAGGATTGACCTCACAAAGATATAATCTGTTGGAAAATTTTTAATATACATCTTAGCGCACTAACAGCCCTGGCCCAGAGACACAGAGGCAAATCCCAGAACACACCACAGTGCCGGAGATCTCTCTGGGCCCCATACCAAGCCAATATCACCAGGGCACCCCAGATGGAGCAGGTGCAGTCTCCCTGCCTACTCCAGATAGAATCCCGGTGACCAATAGCTTCCACAAGCAAGGCCCAGGTATGCGGGTTCAGGAATAAATCTCCAGGCTGCATGGCAGCAGAGGACCCAGACTGTACCTCCCCAGGTCACCACCCGCCCCGTAGATGGCCGTTACCTTATCATGCCCATAATTTGACTCTGTGTGTTATCTTAGTACACCAACAGCCCTGGCCCAGAGACTCCCAATTGAATCCCAAAATGGATTAGTGCCATACAGAGATGTTTCCGGAACCCAGCCATTTACAATCTAGAAATTTACCTTTACAATTGTGGCTGCATGAGCTCTCGTGATATTCAAAATGAGCTATGGAAAATATCCTATCTGGCAGGTAGGCTTGAATATTGGTGGGAAAATTTGAGCAAAACATCACAGTCACAGTCCTCCCATTGTTCATCGATTTGCTCGAGCGGGCCCAGTAACGTCTCCATTGGAGACTTTGTTGTTACTGTGTTTGGCATATCGAATACATCACGAGTAGCTTGCCAGGCTCTGCCATGCGGGCGAGATACTCTCGGTAGCTTGCCGGGCTCTCCGAGAGGGGCGGAGGAATCGAACTCGGGTCGGCCATATTGTCTGCGTGCAAGGCAAATGCCCTACTGCTGTGCTATCGCTCCAGCCCTATAAAGTAATCTTGATAATTGCTCGAGTGAGCCCAGTAACGTCTCCATTGGAGATTTTGTTGTTACCGTGTTTGGCATATCGAATACATCACGGGTGGCTTGCCAGGCTCTGCCGTGTGGGCGAGATACTCTCGGTAGCTTGCCGGGCTCTCCGAGAGGGGCGGAGGAATCGAACTCGGGTCGGCCATGTTGGCTGCGTGCAAGGCAAATGCCGTACCGCTGTGCTATCGCTCCAGCCCGAGCAAAACATAATGCCCCAAATTAGAGAGAGCCTGTGGGGGAAATTGTCTGTCATAGAGGCAGATGAGGACTGGGATGTGGGGGTGGGGGGTATAATTGGGACATTGGTGGTGGAAAATGTGCACTGGTCAAGGGATAGGTGTTCCATCATTCCAAGGCTGAATCTCAAACATGAAAGTTTCATAACTCTCTCTCACAGTGATATAATAAAATAAAAAAAGTAATGTGGAATGTCCAATTCAATCAGCTTAATCAATGGCTTAACAAATAGCAGTCACTGTCACTGTCACTGTCCTCCCATTGTTCATCGATTTGCACAAGCAGGCCTAGTAATATCTCCATTGTGATAATTGTTATTGTGTTTTGGCATATTGAATATGTTATGGGTAGATGCGGAGAGATACTCTTGGTAGCTTGGCGGGCTCTCTGAGAGGTGCGGAGGAATCGAACTCGGATCGGCCATGTTGGCTGCTTGCAAGACAAACACCTTACCTGCTGTGCTATCACTCCAGCCCAACAAATTGCAGTACTCCTGCATTATTTTTTTAAAAAAACTTATAGTATTAGGGACTATGCTTTTTAATCTAATATCCTATTGCATTTTCCTGGATTATTATAGAGTCTAGTAGAGATCTTGGACCTGTTCCGTAAATATCTCTTTAAAGACAAACAGACTTAGAATGACATGACAGACATAGGAGACTGTGAATGTGATCCCATAGAAATAAATGTGTTTGGGGTGAATGGAACATGTACACTTAAATATCAATAAGGAAACATGTCAGGCATATTTAAATTGAATTAATTCCCTAACATTGAAAGCAATTAATAAGACCATTAAGAATATATGCTTTACATTTTCAAATTTTGAACTACCTAAGAAAATTGTCCTTTTGAGCCTAAAAGAAGCCGTTACCTTACATGCAGCCAAGCCGTGGGGTTCAAAGATACAGGGTCAGAGGTCAGACATTGCATTATCTCTCTGGTATCATTTTTCATCCCAAAAGTCAAGATGCAAAATTTCGTATATTTTCTCTATTTCCATTTTATAGTTTTGTTTCCTTATCTTGTTTGCTGCATTCACTATCACTATCACCCCATTGTTCTTTAATTTGCTCGAGTGGGCCCAGTAACATCTCCATTCATCCCTTCTTGTGCAAGTGTAGCCTGATGACCCTTCAGGGTCAGGAGAGTGAGGACCATTCATTGTTACTGTTTTTGACACATCGAGTATGCCACAGGTAGCTTGTCAGGCTCTGCCCTGCGGGTGGGAGACTCTCGGTAGCTTGCTGGGCTCTCTGAGATGGATGGAGGCTTTTGGGGCAGCCTCTAATCATCTTTAAAGGTGTTCCTAGTCATGCATATAGGCGGGTATGATACTCTCAGTAGCCTGCTGGGTTCTCTGAGGGTGAGAACTAGAGAATAAGAGGTCACACAGCCTCAAATGCCGCTGTGCGCTTCTGGGAGTTTGGTTTTATAGTCTCCGGATAGCCGTTGATAGGTTACACGGCAGTTGGTGGGTGTAACTGTCTAGCTCCTGGAAGGTGGAGGAGCTGGGTGGAGGAGGCCCTGTCCCAAACGAAGCAGGCTTGGAGATCTCAGCCCCGGGTCCCGTACACTTGGGTTCCTCTGCTGGTTCCTCATCCAAGCGTGTGGAGAGTGGTCTCAGCATGGCCTTGGCTGGGTCCCAGAGGTCTTCAGCTGCCGGTGCTCTGCTCGGGGCGGAGGGGAAAACTCAACCTGCCCTTCTCCAAGGGGCCCCGGTGAGGACAGCCAGGTGCGGGTGCAGAAGACTCTGCCTTGTTCTCTTCCGGGAGCTTGGTTTTATAGTCTTTGGATGCCCTTTGATGGGTTACACAGTATTATTTATTCTTAAATATGCTCTACATTCATGTTTTTACCAGAATGTGACTTAAGAAGCTAATTTGTACAATTCTGAACTTAATTCAAAGTTAACTTTTGTCAATGTGAAGAGAAAGTGGTTCAAGTTTGGGGAGTAAAGAGAATAAATGTCAGTGAGACTAAAATCTTAAAGTTTGAAATTCTATAGTATTTGTACTTACATTTTTAACTAGATGTTGGGAATTAAAGTACTTTAGCTGCTCTATTGGTGTTGTTTTGTTATTTCAAATGTTACTGCATAAGGTAATGTTTGAAATAACAAAACGACACCAATGTGTGCTCTTTCATATAAAATTTTAAACGTCTTATTGGCTTGAGTGTTGCATTTACCTAAAAAAGTAGAAAACATGTTTATTTGTAATATTATGTATTTCAGATGGCAGATCACACGGAAGTGATGAAAGGGATTCATCAGTACCCAGACATTCGGTATCCTGTCCTTACTCCTAACCTTCAGGGTTTTTACCATGCTGTAAGTATGCTAATAGACTGACAGACACACGCAGATCATTACTCCTGTGGAAGATTTAAGAATTAAAGTGCTCTACAAGAGGCAAAGAGATAGTACGACTGGTTGTTGCTTGTGTGTAAGGTTGAAACTGGGCTCAATCCCTGTAACTCTGTATAACCCCCCTGAACATGCCTTCCAGTTCTATACGGACCTGACAGTTTGACAATAAAAAGAGTTATCAGTTCCAATGTAAATAAAAATTTCCACTGCAGTAGATGGCCTCATGCAAAGCAAGTACCTTAACCCCTCTACTATCTCTCTCTCTGTGATGAAATTCTTTTGAAGATATTTAGTGCGTTCCTCTTAAGTAGTGTCATAACTATTTGCTCCAAGTTCATAATAATTCGATACATGAAGCATAAGGGGGGGTGTGTTGAGAAGGTAGTGTACGAAAAGACAGAATATGGCTCCTCTCTGAAGGGGAGAAGCTCCAGGCAAAACAGTTTCCTCTTCAGTGTAGCTGATGGCCACATACATAGAGCCTATTACGGCAACCCACTTTGGGCAGTAACACAACCAACGAAATACGTTCCATGTGGGAACGAATGTGTACCCCAACTCTTGGGACTTGCACCTAGGACCTTTGTAGGGTTGTGTAGAATAACCACGGTGCTAAGGATGTAGCAACAAGCAGCGTTTTGAGTGTTTCCTAAAACTGTGTGCAGAGATTTTCTCATCATAAAACCAAATGGGCTGGCACAAATCAAGAGAAAAATAAACTACCACTTATTCAATCACAGAGGTTGATGTGGTGAGAGATAACTACATTTATGTATGTTTCTAGGGGTGGGGGGTGAGGGGAGTGTTGAGTGCACCCAGAAATTCTTGGGAACCTTGTAGGATGCTGGGATGGAACCTGGAGTTGTCTGAGTACAAGGCAAGTGTCCTACCTGCTATACTGTCTCTCAAATCCCCAGCAGACACAAAGAAATGACATAATTTTACCTCATGAACAAGACCTCTTCCTCCAAAGAGGTCTCTCACAACTAATACATACAACAGAGGATTATGTAAAATGGCAAAATGTTAATATGTGCCTAAAAAGACAAATCTCAGAATATAAGAGTTCAAAATAAGCTTAATATAGATGCTCATTGAACTCAAAGAATAGGACATAAAGTTCAGTGATTTGCAATAGAATACTCACCCAAACAGAGAAGCAAAGGAACATTTGTAGTATAAGGGTCTCAGAAGAGAAAGAATTCAATACCAGAACACGCATAATCATATCATGCCACATTATAATGAATGTCAAAAGAGAGAATTTTTTTTAAAAAGGAGGAAAAACTCCTTGTTACCTACAAGGAATTCTCCACAATACTGTTGACAACAGTACAACTTTATTGTCAGAAGTTTTACTAGCGTGTTATGCTTCCTATTTATCTATAGCCTAGTATAAAAGACTGGCGTGTAGTAGTATTAAATAAGTAGAACTTATTTGTGGTGTCAGATTTCGAACCCAAGACTCACACATGCGAGCACTCAACACTGAGACATGTTTTTAAGTTGAAGATGAGACTTTGAGCCCCAAATAGCACCAGGTGTGGCCCAAAAGCTCACTATAAGTATTTAGTGTCCTTTATTTTAATGACTGGTTGGTTGGTCTGAAAATGTTTCCAAGATATTTAGAAGTTTATTGGGATGTTACCATAATTAGAGTTAAATATTTAGAGTTTTTAACAATTTGTAGATTTGTGCTTATTTTGCCAGAAGCTAGTTTTGTCATTGTCAAGAATCTAATTTTTAAAAATTCTAAGCAATAGCTAGAATACTAGTATGTCTGTGAAGAGTAGTTAATAGTTTTTCAAATGATGTCATCACATTTTTAGAATAATTATCTTTTGCTTTTAAATGATCTTTTTCAGATCGCTGCTGGTGCCACTGAAATATCAGTTTTTGGTGCTGCATCTGAGTTATTTAGCAAGAAGAATATTAACTGTTCAATTGAAGAAAGTATGGAGAAGTTTGAGGAGGTTGTTAAGTCTGCAAGGCACATGAGTATTCCAGTTCGAGGGTACTTGTCAAATCCCATGTATTCTGTGTTGACAACATTTGTTGTAATATTCGCGTATAACTGTCTAGATATTATTTTAGCATTTTCAGTGGTATGAATTTAATTTGCATTTTTGTGATTGTGGCTATTGCTATATCATTGCAAAATATACATCTCATTGTAATATAAGCTACCACAATGTTTAATCTTGTCACTTGGCCAAAGGGCAGTCTGCAAGGCTAGTCTAATATTGGTAACACTTTTTATTAATACAGAATTACCGAATTTTGGATAAAATTAATAAATCAAATTGGCATGAACCTAGTAGTTTGGGGAAAGAAATGATCTGATGTGGTTTTCTAAGAATTAAAAAATCATTAGCCTATAAGCTGCAATAGAAATTTGGTCCCATGATTTGTCCTCAGCTACTGATGCCCTTATTATTTCTCTTAACCCCTCAAAAAAGATTTTTGGTGGAATTGAGAGAGAAATTAACTATAGCTCTTGTGTGTTTTCAAAACCAGAATTTATAGTATCTGTTGATACAATATATTAAGGTCATTTTTTAGTGAAGAAAAAGTTGTCAGAAATATTAATTATGAGCTCATGACAAGTATCAATAAATTTAAGTCCCGAGTATTTATAATAAAACGTTGTCAATTTAGGTTGAACTTTCACTTGAAATAGGCAAAATTCAGAGTAGCAGGAAAGATCCAGAAGCAAACGTTTAAGCTTTGATTGTATTTGAAAACAAACAAACCATTTTGGATCCCAGTCAAATCACTCAGAGAATGTAGTTGACTGTACTGAATTTTATCACCTTGTTATTTAAATTGTTTTTCATTTCTGATATTTTTTAAGTATTTCTGTAACTTTCTATTTTACTGTAGTATGATATTCAGATTTCTTTTTATTTTTGTAATATATATATATATCACGCAAAGACCCTGGTGCATGCAAAGCAAGGGCCCTATGTCTCCGATTCGATACTTTAAAATGTTTTAAAATGTAATATATTTTTATGGACAGAAAATAAAATTCTCATGAGGAGAGGGCTCCTGAGAAACACTTAGGAGGCCGGTAAGGATGCCAGTACTGAGACCCGCCAGCAGTATAAGGGCCAACCCGGCAATGCTCAGTGAAACAGGACGCGTCGTGTGAAATCCAGGCTGGGGACTGGATCTAACCTTAGAAACGTTTCCCAGCTTCAAGGATGCTGGGAACTTTAGAAACCTTTCCTAGCTTCAAGGATGTCTAGTCACATAACATTCATCAAAAACAGATAACCATAATTTGAAAACCAAACATACAATAGTAAGTTAAATAATAAGTTAAAAAGACAAATGTAAGGAGTAAAGTGCAACTTGCCCTTTGACGAGGGATTTTAGAAACGTTTATAGATGTATACTAATATAAATTGCAGGTTCAATTACCTTAGGTTTTCTCTATAAAGTAGAATATTTGGTGTAACCGATTCTAAATCCTCATTAACATTTTTATTATTCTGCCCTTTTGTTTAAAATAATTTAAAAGTTATAAGGATGCTGCAAAAAGAGTAAAAGGAAAATATGCAACCAGGTTCACTATAACACTTGTCACAGCTGCGCTATTGTTTAGTCTGTTTTTTTTTTTCCCTCATTTTTCTGACATATAGTTGGACTTAGCCACTGTGTCTTTAAAACTTAAGGATACCTTAAATTGTCTTTCATAGTATTAAAATTATTGAATCAGATAGGTCAATATTATTATAGTGTGTGTCAGTTTGGGTTTATTTTGGGGGAGGGGCAGAGTGATAGTACAGTGGGTAGGGTATTTGCCTTGAATGCTTCCAAACTGTTCAATGTTCATGACCCCATTGGGTCCCCTGAGCACTTCCACCAGTTTCTCACTGTGATTTCTGAAGTTTATGATTAGAGCAGATCACTAACCTATTCAATGTTCCAGCCCCAAATCCACCACCAATACTGCCATCCCCCCAACCTCCCCCCTTAACAAACTCATCATTGTATAATTGAAACCCAAGAACAAAATATGTAAGTCTATAACTGTACCTCATGGTGTCTCACTAATAAAAATTAAAAAAACAAACAAACACGCTTTCAAGGGTAGAAGCAGGAGAACAGAGAAATTCTGGTGTGGGGAAAAGAAAAAGTTATTTGAAAAAAAACTATTAAACAACTAATATTAGCTCATGTCTAAAGAAAATTCTCACCATGCTACAACCTAAAAGGCTTATAGACTTCTGTAAGGTGACACACGGTAAAGTCAGAGCCGCATAGACCAGTGTGTTTTCACCCCTGCAGAGTTGTTCCTTTGGAGCACAATATCTGAATTTCCTAGAACACTTCATTTCATTTTTATTTCATTTCATCATCCTGTTATTCGTCGATTGCCTCGAGCAGGCCCCAGTAACGTCTCTTTCATCCTAGCCCTGAAATTATATTCAAGGCTCTAGAACACTTCATTTTTAAAAAAATGTCTTTTACATGTTGAGCTCAATATTTATTTTTTGTGGTTGAAAATTATCTTCTTCCTCCCCCATTTGCAGAGTTTAAATTCAATTTTATGTCTAATGGAAGTCTACATTTTAGATATTCGTTAAGTCCTAGGTAAGGTAACTCACTGAAGGAAGAGAGCGGCCGTGCTCAACTGGTTGAAATGAAAGTTGATGCTTTGGCCTGTTTTAGTCTGGCAGCTGCAGCAAGAGGGATTTGATCGTCATCCAGAAAACTTATGTCGTCAGCTGTCAGATTTAAAGGCCAGGAGGCAGTATATATTTTATAAATGCTCACTAAAACCACTTAGTTTTTTATGAAAATAATAAACTTTCAGATGGTCTAAAAGGCAGGTTTTATTAAAGTTATGAAGTCTATTGTTCGATTCCCTGAAACGCATGCATATGTACACATTTTTAATACATGCTCAGAACTTTACAGAACATCTGGGACACATTGGGGAAAGACACCATGCCAAATTATTGACAGGAAATGCAGAGTCAGCTGCCTACTGCCTGACGAGCATGATGTGTGCAATGTTTGCACTGTGGACTTCATGCCGTAATGTGTCATTCACATGACATGTGCTTACAAAATCTAAATTATTTTATTATTATCTGTCTAAATTTTTTAAAAGTTAAAAAAGCAAATAAAAACATTCCTGTGATAAATATAGTTATTTTCCCTCTTCTAATCACTGTCATATCTTTTGGTTCATCAGAATCCTTTTACAGTTAAAATACTCAACATATAAATTAGATATTCAGGAGGTTTTTGACTTTTTTGTCAGAGAATCAATTTTCCCTTAATGAAGTCATACAGTTAGCATGATTGCTGTCTGTGACTATTAATATTAAATGCCTATAAGTGTACATTATAAATTCATATCAGTAATTGTATAGTAACACACAAACCTTGAGATCTGCTTTGTATAATTCTGTCCTAGGCCTCTCCTAAAAATGAACTTGGATGATTTAACCCGGCATTAACCTCTGGAAATTTTTAGCCTTACTAAATGTTACAAAAAGTATATATTTTCACTTTTCATGGGACTCAAGCTTATCCATGCATTGTTTAAAAATGTGCAAATACTTCACTGTAAACTTAACGGCTATTTCCTCTCAAATTCCCAGAGAAACTAGAAAATGCAAAATAATGAAGACAAGGAGTAAAAGGAAATCAAATTAATGTAGACAATCTTCCTTTTAAATATAGACTATAATTTGAGTGTGCACTGTTTTACTTCACTCATAACTTTGAATGCAACCCAGCTGCTAATTTTGAGTCCTGAGAAGGTGAGGCATTGGATTTTCCGCGAGCCATAGCATTTTCCTATCTCCCGTTACCCTCATCCTCTTCTTATCTGAAACCAATAAATATCCAATCTGGTGTGAAAGAGTTCCAGTTTAGAACGTAGCAAGAATATTAGTGATGAGTTTCTCTGAGTACAAAAATGACTAAATCAGAAGGGGTCGTGTGGTTTGCATGCAGAGGGCTGAGCAAGTTATATGCCAGCCATCACTGTGGTCCCCAAACAAACAAAATACTAAGTCTTAGGATATTCTTCCTGGGATTTACATGGTTTTGTGAATCTTGTATTACTGACTCATTTTATATCATTTCTAACCCAGTGGTGCTAAGAGCTAACTCCTGGCAGGGTTCGAATCCTGGTCAGCCACGTGCAAGACCCTTGGCTTTAGCATCGCTCTGGCCACAATCTGATTATTAAGCAAACAGCTCAGGCGGCACTGATTTCTTTCCTCCTCTCCCCTGTCCGGAGTCTGAGTCTGACCCGGAGTTGCTAATGGCCTTACTGAAGGAGATAATGACTTTTTTCATTAGGGGCCACATGCTTTGAAGATGGATTCCTGATGGTGGATGGCCCATATATGTCATCCCCTCAGTGATATGGCTCAATGGGATGCTTTTGCATCTTATAATACTGTTTGACTAGTCAGCAGCTTATTGCTCAAGGTCCTTTCCAGGTGATAGTGTTCATTTGAGGTCCTTGTTGGCATAGAAAACCTAAATAATCATTTACCAAATAGGGCACATAGAGCTCTAAAAATATCTGTTCAAAATGCATCTTCATCATTCACTACCGATGCTTTGTTTAAGAACTTGACTCTTTAGACCCTCACAAGTTATTCCAGCATTGCTACTGAAGGTCAGAATTACAAATACCCGCAATCACGTGCTTAAGATACATTTTTACACTGATGGTGTAAATTGTCCTCACATCGAACTTTTGGGGAAATGAATGTTTGTTCATTTCTCATCAGATTTGCACTCCAGAGCAAAAGGAGAGTCTCGCCATAATTTCTTTCTGATACCAAGGAACAGTCTGTGTTTTTTTGTATCGCCCGCAGTAAGTAGTGAGGACTTAATAATCTCTAAAATTTACTTTTGGCTGGTTTATTAATAATTAAATGATGTGGCACTATTTTGATGGATTCTTCTGGCAACTCCTGTATTTAAATGTCTAAATTATCATTTCTTAACACTTGGCCTTTTCTGAGTATAAAC